CTTTAAAACATGAATTTACTCCATAAAACCGAAGAGTAATCGCGGTTTGAAAATGAGCTATTTTTGCTATATTCGATAATTAGCAAAAATAGCTCATTTTCAAACCGCGATTACTCTTCGGTTTTATGGAGTAAATTACGCTCGTGTTCCAAGATCCGCCATGTAAAGTGTAGTGAAATGTATCTCATCGTAATATTAAATCCTAAAAAAACTAAAGCCTCTGCGGAGGAGAGAGGAGTAAATTCATGTTTTAAAGTATCAATATAAAGAGTAAACATTCCCGAATTCACTGATGTAATTTTATTTTAGTTTCATTGTAAAAAAGTACAATTTACTCCAGAATATTTCAATGCCACTTTTCCAACACCCAAAACATGCATAAATACAATCGGAATTTAATATAAGTAAAATGCGATATATATACAAAATTATTCAAAACTTCTTTTATTAAATAACAAAACAAAAAGGTTATCGAAACATACCTTTGAGAAAACGAGATCTTCACGGCAAAAATCGCAATATATTTCAACAGTTTTTAATCGAACGGCGCGTTGAGAATAAATAGCTTGAATATAATGAGCCGCACTGATTCGCGCGTTGCATTTCGGGAAGACCCTCATTCCTCCTCTGTTTTCACACATTCCTGCATTTTCGACAGGGACGTCGCTGGGGGATGATGTGGGTGTAACACCCCCCCTCCCAAAAAAGTTCAAAAAAGTTGGTAAAAATGGAAAATATTGGTGCACATTGATTAATTACCATTCAGGGGCCGGTTGTACAAAAACGTAGTTAGCGCTAACTGCAGTTAAAAAGTAGTTAAAAAGCCGTAAAAAATAGTTAACTTTAATCACGTAGTTAAGCCGGTTGTATAAAAGTGTAGTTAGCCATAACTGCAGTTAAAAAGTAGTTAAAGTTAACTATACTTTAGGGTATAGTTAACTGTCCAAAACGTAGTTAAAAATGGCGTTTGTATAGAAGTGAACAACATTTTTCAGTAAAACAACAATGAAAAGCAACGGTTACCTGAGATTTTCAGTCGCTATCTTCTATGTGAATGTTTCCTGACAATATAAACTCTTCAAACGCTATCGCTTTGGTGTTTTTACGAAAACAGAACATATTTTTGCACAGGACGATTTCTCGAAGACGAAGTATGGTCCATTACACCAAGAAACACTGATATATAATTGCCAAACAGCTATACTTTGGTTTAACGTAGACATCTCAAGGAAAACTGCATTCTTTTATGATTTTTGTGGCGGTTTTTCCTTGTTTTCTTGTTTATTTTTCACTGTTTTCTAGTGTTCTGAATAAAATTATTAAAATTCCCGCCTATTTGCAAAATACGAGTCCACAATCATGTTGAAAATGTGTGTCAGCGGTCGTTACTCGCTGCTTACTTTATGTAATTTTGTGTTTAAACGCCCCACGCACAGTTAACTACGTGATTAGTTAACTATCCGACTAACTACGTTTTGTGCAACGCAGTTAAGTCATGTAGTTAACTAATTACAGTTAAGGATTTAACTACAGTGATTAACGCTAACTACAGTTAGCGCTAATTACGTTTTTATACAATCGGCCCCAGTTTTTCCATCACGAATTTGATGGAGTCAATGGTTTCAATGTTAATGGCTTCGTGACGTCACTGAGGCCTGTTTCATACGTCGAATTTAATTCAGACGAATTTATATTAAATCTATCAATTCGGGATTCCCCTTATTACGTTTTCGTAGCGCTTTGCATTGTGGTTATAGTAGTATCACTGATAAAGATAGCGGCCTCGAATGAAAATGCTGAATGTTTTTGCGAATACTTTGCTGTTGGCTATCGCGCACGTGACCCTAGCTTTTTTAAAAGTTCTTGCATGGGTCAGGACAAAAAATAAGCCATCTTGAATATCAGTGATACCACTATAACCACAATGCGAAGCGCTACGAAAACGTAATAAGGGGAATCTAGTATTGGTCGAGTTTAAAATGGTTTCGTTTCAAACGACGAATTTAATTCAGACGAATTCATTTCACGACTAGCGATCATGGATTACCCAGAAATAAACACGATGATAACACGTCGTATGAAACGAAGACGCAAAACAGACGTTGTATCCGTCTGACCATGACGGATAAAACGTGTTGGACGAATTTAATTCGTTTCATACGATGCACTACCGTCGCATTTAATTCGTTCAATTGAATTCGTCTGAATTAAATTCGACGATAGTGCGACGTATGAAACAGGCCTGATTTTCGAGAGGTCTTCTTGGGTGATTAGTAGTTACATTTACCGAATTTTAAAATATAATTTCAATATTTTTATACTACCTCGCTCGACACACTTAGCCTGAAAACAGACCTACGTTTCGCCCGCCCTAAAATTCGCGGGTCGACGGAAAGGGCGAAATTGGTAGCCCTTTCCGTCGGCCCGCGAATTTTAGGGCGGGCGAAACGTAGGTCTGTTTTCAGGCTAGACACACCCGACGTATTCGCATCCTACGCGCCTGCCCTTGCAAGCAAGCAACACATTCGAGAAGAATGTTGTAGGATTTTGGCACACAGACCCACAGAGAATTTTACATTTTTATGTACACTTTATTTAATACTATTTGCACTACAAAGAGAAACCCTAGTTCATATCCACCACCAAAACTAAGATGTTCCTTGCTCCTCCTTTGTGCTTTCCGCTGCTTTCCCCGTTGCCTTGAAAAGACATGATACAGAAACTCTTAAAATCTAGTGTCGCCACAGCGGAGCAGAGAAAGCTTTCAAGCACCAGAGAGATGAAGGGCAAGACTCTTTGTTGGTGTGAGGAAAAGTTTGAAATATCCACAGGCACCCCAGCTAGTGGTGTTCAGCCCCCCCACCGGGGAAGTCCAGCGTCACCCTAAGAAAATCTGCTTGACCATACATTTTCTGCTTTTCGTATAGCTAACTCGATGACTCAATGGGTAGACCGGCAGTCTAGAAACTCGAAGATGCGCGTTCGAATCCCCCGCTCGAGACAACGAATTTTTCGTTGAACTCTACAGAGTCATGTTACATGTGAAACTAGTTTTACATGTAACAGCAATCCTGTTATTTTCCAAACTGAAAAGAGCAATAGACTTTATGCATAATGACGTCATAAGGCCTGATGCCCGCGAGGAATGCTGGTCCTAGTAGTCGTCGCCCGGGAAAATTTCGATAGTGGCCATTTTGAATTGTTTAATTTTCCCGGGCGATGATTACTAAGACCAGCATTCCTCGCGGGCATCAAGCCTTGTGACGTCATTATGCATAAGGTCTATTTGCAATTATTATACTCATTCCCACAATTCGACTGATTTTTTGAAAAAAAAAACGTCAACGGAAAAAATTAGGCTAGACTAGATGTGCATGTATAATTTTTTTCTAAAGCAAAGTAAGATATAGTACCTTTTTCTTTTTCTTCTTTTGTGCTTTCCTACTCACAGAACTCGCAAGTATCGACTATAAAAGTAATACATAATGTTAGCTATCTGATAAATCAATTATTATAGGTGATTAGAACGATTGCCTGCAGATTAGAACGAATGTTAACTCTCTACCACAGTAGTTTCATAATCAATTATTCTAAATTAATCTCAAACTTATTAATAATTCCTGAGTAAATTAACCAACCATATTGCTTTATTTTGACCACATGATAATAAACTATTATTGAGGTTTTGTATGATATGGAGAATTATTATATGGCTTTTCAAAATTCTCCATTCTGATTGGTTGACAAGCGGTCCGTAAAAACCCATATCCGGACCGTGGTCCGTATTTTCCGTATCTGGACCGGTGTCCCGGATGTCGTTTATCTGGCGGGAAATTTTTGTTTGCAAACAGATAAATTTTTTGCTTTTTAATTTTCTAATTGTGCTTTACAGATAAAAATTTCAAACAACCAAATTGTTTTTGATTGAGCATGCATGCCTACTGTATATTGTTACCCAGTGAAACTGGGTAACAATATATAGCCTTCGCCTCAGACTCGATCAAATTGCGCGAACTTGAAATCTAGTCCAGTCCTCATAGTCGGATATGAAATATTACATAAAAGTAATTACATGTATTTAATTCAGTGGTAAACTTTTCGTTTGGCTCATAACATTTGAGGGCCTTGTACTGCCTTGTACAGTATAAAGTGTACTTTTGAGGCCAAAAACAAAATATTTTGCATGTGAAACAATTACTTTGGTACCATGCCCACATATCATGAGCCAAACAAAAATGTTTGATTGACTAACTCTACAAGAGAAACCTTTCGGCGACCATTATAAATGCACTCTGGTCTCACGGAAGCTCGCAAATTAAGGCATATTTTATCAATGTACCTTGATGTTTTCATCTTGAATCGAGTTTTCGCTCTCAACGATGTCCATATCAAAAGCAGGTCCTTGAGTTATTCTGCAAATCAAATTATCGGGAAAAAGTACTGTCAAATTTCCCCGTGCTTGCCAAAAAAATGTTTGACATATATGTGCACAATATATCATCAGTACCTGATAGGGCCATTTGGCATTAGGAGTAAAGTGAACTTAAACTGTGCTACAAATTCTCCTATAAGAAAATACAAATGTAACAAACAAATAAAGAATTTGTTCAGTTGTGTTCTGTGACCATATAAGTAAAGTGTGCACAAAATATACAAAGAGCTGCGCATTGGCAATACCTTCTTTTTCCCAAAGAACATTATATGGCTCAAGTAGACCATGTTTCACACATTCTACTACTCCTAACTTGGCTTGCTTTTCATCTTCAAATGCCCTGGAAAATAGTTTATATTTATTGAGCATATTTGAGAGCAAGTAAAGATTGTGTTGTTGTTGTTGTTGTTGTTGTTGTTGTTGTTGTTGTTGTTGTTGTTGTTGTTGTTGCTGCTGCTGCTGCTGTTGTTGTTGTTGTTGCTGCTGCAACTTTCACAAATGAAACAAGTAACTTGTTATCATTACAGAGGTTAAAAGTTACACTATTTTTCACCAACCTTAGAGTAAAAGGCATCATTGTGAATTTATTGCAAACTTCACTGAAAAACACTAGAAAAATTGAAAAAAAACGTAGTGAAATGTTGGAACCATCTCATATATGTTTTACGGGCCTCAAAAGATCAACAAATTATCACATTAAAACTGAATTAAACTTTGGCTTTGATAGGACAGGTTCTTCACCCAGTGAAGTTAATCAGCAGAGAATATCGTATTATTATAACAACAGACTACAATATACAGAAGTTCTGTATTTCAAAATATCAGGTCAATTTCCATCAAAGGGCGAAAATGTGGTGGAACTGGGGAACTAGGTTTCTAGAGAATTTTGGCCAATTTGTTATCTCACAGAAAATTTTGGAGATTAAACTACTACACGTTTCATATTTGGTCCATTCAGCAACCCTAGTCTGTTACTTACCATAAAACATGCGGATCGTCGCATTGTTATTCCATTGCGCTCTCATTATAATGACTAAATATATACTCCCAGAGAATTTGACATATTTTTAGTTCGCCCTACGATTTCCACATTAGCGACCTCGATTTTAATACAATCCTAATCCTAACCCCAACCCTTATCCCGTTTCTGCTATAACTCTACTGATATCAGGATAGTATAGTTCTAAATGAAGAATACCATTAATAATTAACTTGCACTGTACCTCTAGATGTTTTCATTTTTAAACTGTACATATTTGGTGTTCGTTTATAAACAGTAGTTCTCGAATCTTTCTCCTTAGCCTTGCCGTCCGCAGTACTGACAAGAACATCGATAGCATATACTTCATGAACGTCAAACTCACATTTTTCATGTTCTTTTCTGTCAATTAAAAACACGACACATTAATGGACCATTTGCATTATAGACTAAATTTTGATCTCAACAAGTCTAGACAAAAATTTCATCACAGCTTGAAAGAGCACCACACAAAATTAGAATATTCCAAAGTTTCGTTGTGAAATGTTGTAAAATGCGGATGATATAGCCTTGCGAAGTTTGCCGTTTTTCAGTCATTTTCTATTACAAACGGGACATTGACAGCGCCAAAGGGTATTGGGCTGTCAATTTCCCCCGCGTAGTTTACATGATGCAGCCGAGTATAACTCGCCTTGACGAGTTCCCGGCAGAAAGAGGCGGGATGAATATATTACCATGTAAACACTTTGCCCGGATATAAACTCGGCCACGAGAGAATCTATGTGCTTTGCACAACAAGATCGATGTGTTCGCACTGCTTGTTCCCAGTTGCTGATAAGTCTGGAACAAATTAATTGTTATCATCAACAACAAACAAGGCCAACAGACTCGCGACAAGTTGTTCCAATAAGTCTGATATCATCTGCACGTAACAAGTTGATGACAACAATGGACGACTTGCGCTTTAGAAAATTTTTTAATCCGGGAATAACAAAGGATATTTTCGGAAAGAAGTTATCAAAATTAGAAAAACTGCAAAGTTTGGTTGCGAAATGTTGTAAAATACGGAAAATATAGCCCTGCGAAGTTGGCAAATTTGTATACATTTCTATTACGTGCGGAAATTGGTAACTAATTTAGTTACCAATTCACGCACGTAATACAAAAGTATACAAATTTGCCAACTTTGAAGGGCTATATTTTCCGTATTTTACAACATTTCGCAACCAAACTTTGTAATATTACTAATTCCAAGACGCTCTTTCCAGCTGTGGTGATAGATTTCGTTGTTCTTATTTAGATTGAAATTTAGTCTAAAGCGCAAGTCGTCCATTAAGCTCGTAGCAATTTGTTACGAACAGCCTGTAGTAGTACTGTAGTAGTCTTGTTGGAACAACCTGTAGCATGTCTGAAATTACCAAAACTGCAGATAAAACAAAACCTCTGGATACAAACGTATGTCACGTTTTCGTGTCAAAACATTCAGGAATGTGACTATACAACGTCGTGAAATCAACGATTTGAAAATGGTGACATCTGATTGGTTTGCGAGAAAATGTACTGGTAATACCGTCATCAACTTTGTAACCAGATGATCACAACATGTTCCAGACTTATCACAACATCTGGGAACAAGCAGTGCGAACACATCCTGATAACGGCTTGACAACAACCTTGTTACAACTAGTTTGCAGATCTATAACGACTTGCGCAACTTCCATTTTTGATTGATTAACAAGTCGTATTATAAAAGATGGTGCCCTTTGCTATTTTATTCTGTTAAATGCCATATAATTTTACTTGTAAAAGGGAATGTTTATTGCATTAATCTTAATGGGTTAAATATACTGACAAAAAAACAAATATATAAATATGTTATGTCCACTCTTACTTTTGACCCTCATTTGGATTTTGAATTATAGATTTTTCACCATCGATCACATTTCGTTTTAACTGGTGGGATAGCATTCCTAAGATTCAAAATAAACAATATTCTCTAAACTGCAGTAAACCAATATTTAAAACAGGGATGTTTTGTACAAGGCATTTCCGTTATCAGTATATTGCAAAAATTATACCAATATTATCAGACTGAGTATACCAATTCCCGGACCTTGTTCATACGCGAAAAAAACTTCTTAATGGAGATTTCGATTTTTAAAAATGGAAACACTCCTGCAACAATTTTCGAAGGAATTTTAGGTAGACAGACCTACTTCTTCGTTGAAGTGCAATACAACAAAATTGATAATTTCTGCATATCAAAACTTGAGTATATCAGAAAATTTCAGAGTATCGGAAGTTTTGGTATATCAGTAAGAGTGTATGATTATTGGGGGGAAATCTTCTTCTGATAACAATGAGAACTACTAGGACATTTTCAATTTCCTCTGGAATGACCCATTGGATTCAATGCAGATTACTGAAAGTTTTGGTACAGTACATCAGTAAGCAGTCATTTAAAAACAGTCATTACTTATATATGACATAAAAGTAGATTGCTAACCTTCTATAGGCTTACAGTTGAAATCTTCAGTCAGTTTCTGTATATAGTCAGTTATTGTATAGTTCTAGTTAAAAAGACGCAAAAAATAAAGACAATTCAATGATATAAGCACCACCTATGAAATGACTCAGTTCTATTGAGTAAGACCCCATTTACACTAGAGCGAAAGTTTTCAGATTCATCACGGAACCAGAACGTTTTAGCACCTGATTCGTGTTGCCATTTACACACGCATGCAGTGACGAATCCGTCAATACAATAGTAAATCTTCTCGGCTTACGAAGAAGCAGAGTTTTTCGTTTGAATCCGGAAAAGTTTGTGGGATATACGTATCCAGAAACATTTCAATCTGGAGAAAACTCTCGTGTAAATGGCATTCCATCAAGAATCTGAATCAATTTGTTCCAGTGTACGTTTTTCAAATTTATTGCTATTAAATCCAAACGAGGTTGAAACAAGGGTTAAAATCAGGGGTTAATTAAGAGGGTATCGATCAGGGGTTAAGAGGTTAAATTAAATTATTTACTTTATATTGACCATCTCTGTGTTGGGCTAGCTGTGTAGTGTGTATTGCAAACGCCTCACAGATACTTGAAAAACAAGGAATCCGGATACTTTTACAAATCCGGGAACCTTTGCTCTAGTGTAAACATAGTCTAAGATATAGTTGCAAGAGGACAAAAATCCTGAATATTTACCCGTATATCTTACACTGGCATCACCTTAGTACACATGAATGAAGTCCGGAACATTTAGGCAAAAGTCATGTCAAATTGACTGTAATGCTTGGCTGAAACTGCACTGTATGTAGTTCAGTACTCAGAGCATTGTATTGGAATCACAGTGGCTCAGGTTTGCAATTCCTGCCAGAGGGCCAAATTTTGCATTTTCTCCAGTTACTGTAGGGGCCTTGACAGATACCAAATGGTATTGGATCTACAGTAGTATTTTAATACTGGATAGAGCTGGATGTCTATTTTTTTTTACCGGCATATCCCTATAGTCCAAAATATGTTCATAGTTTTCCCTCAAAATATCCATGTACAAAAATTTCTACATACCTCCTCAGCAGGTTTGACAGTTCTGTGCACAAGTTCTGATGTAAGATATGCTGCTAATAAAACATCTGCTTGTCGACCTGTTACTTTATTCTCCTAAATAATACAAAACAGTGAATTTAAAGAACTAAACTATTGTACTGTAATTATCCACCCAATCAATTATTCAATCTAGTTGCGGCCAATGTACTCAGCAATACCTTGCTTGCCCCAACGACTATTGTATGTCCAATAACTGCTACATAGCCATCAATATGAATACCTAAATCTCTAAACAAACAATCTTATGTTTAGTTCACAGACATACAGTATGAATTAGCCAAGCAGCCAGTCATATATTTATTCCTTCATTTGTTCAGTTGATCATTCAAAACTCTTAAGCTGCAAAGCTTCCCCATTGACGAGTAAAATCATCTGGCGTTAGACAAGTAAAAAATAAGTGGGGCACACTGTCAGGTTTTTTGGGTAATCCATAAGCTGCAGAGCTTCACCACTGATAAGTAAAATCATCTGGCATTAGACAAGTAAAAAAATAAGTAGGGCGCACTGGGGCAGGTTAAATTAAAGTCAACTGTCGAGCATTGTGATTGTATGTATGAAAACACTCACAGCAAGTATGTGTGTGTTAACTCTTGCAATTAATGGAAACAAATCGACTGGAGTTAAGGAATAGACTGGAGTAAAGGAATATCATGTTTCTTAAGTGATGTTCTTGTGGCCCATAGCACCAGCTGAGATAAATTGAAACTTTTGAAGACACCTGACACTGAAAGTGGTTAAACATAATTGTGATCAAAGGCCTTCGAGGCCGACTCACGGATGAGATCAAATTAATTAAAGAGGGATATGATTTACAGCAGTTTTTTACAAATGGGAACCGTGCAAGGGCAAGGACATTATTTGGTAAAACACAACATAATATAAAATGTTCCCGAAGATCTTACAGGTTTAAACAGTTTAATTTTAACGACATCCTCGATTTTAACAATAAGGGACCGGTCATTAATTATGGAAGGGGGGAGGGGAGGAAAAAAATAAGGGGGGCATATGTAGAAATGACTAGAAGGGGGGCTATTAAATTTTTTCAAGAAAATGACAGGGGGTGTTGCAATTAAACTTGAAGGAATTTGCTTAATAACCTGGTATCCATTTGGTTGTAAATGTTGCAACTAAATCATGGTCACTGATGTGAAATAGTCTGGATTCATCTTGTCTTGTGTGTGCTGTATGCAAATCAGTCTTTACGGATTGCAGACTAGTTAAATTGACAATGTATTATTACATCAGCTCTTGATGTGGTTAAATACATTTAAATTAAGCAAGGTTAACGGCGTTTGTATTATGCAGGCCACATCCGCTGCGGGGAATCTGTGACGTCATATCGATCAAAGGGGGTTGTTTCATGCCTTGTGATCAGTGCTTCGGTCTGGGTATTCATTCTACCATTGTATGCTTTGCCTAGCTGCAGCAAGTTTTGCGCTTCGATACCTTTTCCCGACCCACCCACCCATGTTCATTCTAAAAGATTTTATCTGGTAGCTAGTATATGTCATTTTTATATAATTTTTAATCTCACATAAAATAGGATGTATAGACCACTATACACTGTCGCAGGTATGCCTTGGCAGAATTGTCATTGCTATCTCCTTTTGCTGCTAATTTTACTGATTGTTGCTCTCATTGTTGCCGCGCAGCTGCTATGGCAATACTTCGTACCATCAAGTCTAGTTGCAGCCTTAAACATGGTTACGATCGCCCAGACCAAATGGAAACCTGATTTTAGTGTTATATATAAAAATACTCCTCTTTTAATTACAATTTTCTGCTAATAAATATATATTTTTGGTCGACGTTAATATCTTGCCAGTTCCATATTCTTATTTAATAATTAATACTATAACGCCTGGGTATCCCCATTTGACGAGTAAAAATGAAAATGGGGGGGGGTCAAAGAAAAATATTCTAATATGCAGGGGGGGCCATCATTAAATTTCTGCCATTTAGGGGGGGGGCTTTCAATTTTAAAAATTTAGAAAAGAAAAAATTCCCCTCCCCCCTTCCATAAATAATGACCGGTCCCTAACCAATATCAACAGTCTTGAAAAAACAATCTGAATAGATTATTATAAAACTACACACTATCAAAGCAAATCTATATAAAAGTACAATAACCGTAGCTGTCAGGTGTGTATAGTGTTCAACAGAATAACTATAAGTATAAAGCTGTACCTAATACAGTCAGTATCAGTACATCCAATGACCGTGGCTTTCCGATATGTACAGTGTTAAACAGACTGACAATTTAAACATGATAACTATAATAAGTATAAAGCTGTCCCCAATGTAATATATAAAATGACCGTAGCTGTCCGATCTAGAGTGTTGAACAGGACAATTTAAACATGATAGCTATAAGTATAAAGCTGTAACCAATACAGTACATGCTGCATCAATGACCGTAGCTGTATGATGTACAGTGTTGAACAGAAAAATTTAAACAGAACAACTATAAAACAGCACCCTTATTGATACAACGGTACAGGTAGCTGTCCAATGGCAGTACAGTGTAAGTAAATCCAGGTGGTAATGCTGCCTCAGTGTCCAATATTCTTTTTCTTTTTAGACCATTTATAATTGTTACCAAACTGTGAATAAACATAAATGTCTACATTGAAAAGGGAATGGCTGCAAAAATTTCAATATCAGTCCCCCACACACCACTGTTCCTCATGTTGCTTGTGGCTAAATGATGATCTACTGAACTATTCATATATGGTCTAAGGACATGTTCTATACTGTTCATGTGATCCACTATTTTTTGTCTTAAAATCATGTGGTATGTTTGTCGGTTAAAATATATGACAGTGCTCTAAATAAACAATTGCCATCCCCTGTAATCCGACAGAGTTTCGTTGGATTAACTAGTGGTTTTGATGTTGTTTCATTGCGTCTAAATATAAGTGGGACATTCATCAAAGAGCATAAGGACAGCTGAAATTCTCCTGATAGAGGATAAAAATGAAGCGATCTATCGATACACTGCTGAGACTCGTCCGTGCCAGCTGATACTAGGCTACAGTGCAAGCGCAGTCATGTGAAATATACAACGGCAAGTCGGCAACGTGACTTTAATACAAAGATTTTGTGTCGTGTTGCTTCGAATAAGACAAATATGTCCTTTGTATTCCGTGACAGCTAAAACATGAATTATTTAATTTAAATAACATGATTAAATTTGGTAAACAAAAAACTCTTTCAATCGACAGAAACTATGGAAACAGTGTTGAAACGGTGTTGAAACACAGCTGACAGAGGCGCTCGAAAGGCACCAGAAAATGTGAACACTTGTATATATATTGAACAAAATAGTGTTAATATTTCAGCTAAAAGGTAGATCAGTGTGTTAACAGCAGATCTGTTGGGTGAAGTAGAAAAACAGATAACAATTAAGTCAACTAACACTCACCTTTTAATTTAGCACACGCTTGTCAAAAAGTCAAAAGTTGAAAAGAACGTGAAGCGTGCTGCAGCCCAATTTCCGGTTCCAAAAGACCCGTTCGCAGGCAAACACTGCGCGCAAAGCAGGCTGGTCATTTCCCATTGTTTAACTGCCCCACTCAAGTAAACCACAAAGACTCACAGATGTTGCTTCGCAACATCCGTGAGTCAAAAATGGCATACAGCGCCAAATTTTTTACTGTAGCTAACACCCTGAAAGTTTCATATTAGAATACAATCTTTATCTGCGACTGTTGATCCCTCGATTTAAACATGAGTAAATAAGGCGTAAAAAAAATACCTGTGGTTCCGGTTTCATATTGTGAAAAAATTATGGTCGGTAGGTCGGAAATTAATTTTTTTTTAAATATTTTTTTCATGGTTTTGGCAGTTTTTTGCTGGGCAATTTGCAGTAGAGACCCAACACCAATGTTAACTAGAGATGTGTATTCCCTATGGACGAATTTAGGCAATTTGGTTTAATAATTAGTGTGACAACAAACACCATTTTGGCACGCTGTATGAGCAGCCCGCAACCACCTGGAGAAAATAGGGTCGCACAGTCAATCATGTTGAAAAAATAATAGGGTCGGCAGAAAAAAATAGGGTCGGTCGGGAACCGGAACCATAGGTATTTTTTTTTACGCCTAAGATGCTAATAAATTAAAATTTTACCTAATTTACAAAGAAAGTCAAATAGAAAATTATGAACCTACATTTTAACCATATCACCATTCTTAATCTCTATGTCTGGATCACTCGTCAATGGTGTAAAATGACAAACACAATTGTTCACTGAGACACATGTTGGAAATGCAATCCCTGAAATTCAGACATGAAATAATTCAATTTGCAGGAAACTGGGATTTGGAATAGTGGAAACACTACCTGTAAAACATAATCTTATAAATTACTCACTATTTTTATCTTTAATTGCAATTGGTTTGATTAAATAAACAACTTTGTGGGCATATTCTTTGAGATTCGATAAACTTATCTACATGCGGTTATAATTTTTCAATAGGGTTTCAGAGTTTTGAATACTACATGGAATTTTGTCAAACACTTAAATTTGCTGACCTGCCCTCATTTTAAGTTAGCAAAACTTTCCTGACCCTGTTTTTAGGGATGAGCCGACACCAGAAAAAAGCCGATTCGCCGATCCGATATAAAAAAAATAATCGGCCGATTAATCGGCTATGGCCGATATTTCTGTGCACCGGGGTACAAGCGCCGGACAACGGTTTTTTGACAACTTTTAATACTTGTGTATACGCCACAAATTGACGTACTAGTTTTAGTGTGTTCCGGAAAATATTTACTCATATTGGACAGTTATCGGTCACCGTACGAGTCAAATGAATTAATGGATATGGGATTAAATACGCACAACAAAAGTGTCAAAAACAAGACGGAGTGTAGATTACTAGATTATAGAGTTATTTTTCTTAAAAAAAATGAATATCGGCAAATAGCCGATTATAAAAAATAATCGGCCGATTACCGATTATTTTGAAAACGCCAAATATCGGCCGATACCGATTAATCGGCTCATCCCTACCTGTTTTTACATAATTCTTCAAAGTCATTGCTCAACTTTATGATAAATTAGTACCTTTTTTCATTTCTTTCTTGTTTTTGTAAACTTTACTAGTTTCTTCAACAATCAACGAATCCCCCATCGCACATAACGTTCGGGCTGTCACATTCGCCACGGTGGCTTGTACTACTTGTGCAAGAACACCTACAGATTGTACAATACTTTGATGAACACTAGAAATATGCAGATCAGGCGGGTATGCATGTCTTGTGACCAAATCAACAAGACAAAACTGTTGCCAACTCAGGATCAAATTTTCTATGATACGTTTTCATATAGCAAGTTTAGCCTCCTCTGCAAGCATCTCTAGGGGGTTGTGGGTTCTGAGCCACCCACTTCCCTAAAGATGTCTGAGAAGGCTATCACAGGGCTTGAAATTTTCAACACAAATTTTGCCACCTATAATGCAGACAATCACCGGAAACAGGGTCTTAGCTAGAGGGCTGTGTTATCATGGCCAAAAGTGGAAAAACACGGCTAGATAAAATGAGAACAGCTTCATTATTTAGATAAGGTCATGTAGGTTCATAAAATAAGGTGGTGCTACAGTACTTACAACAGACAGAATTTCTTGTATCAACGTTGTAAGAAAGTTTGTAAAATCTACTGTTGTTGTTGAAATTGGTAAAAGTGATCCGTGATGTTTTAATGGATAATGGGAACTGTATGGTGTTAAAATGGTTTTAAATACCCCCAAGAGTTGCTGAAATAACTTAATATTCTAATGTCAGTGGCCAATATGGGCATATGCTTGCCTTGTATTTGGTTGCAAAGCATCGAACAACCACAGGCATTGTCTGTTGTTGGCAAGCCATAACTAGAACCGTGAATTTGGCTATTCAAGGTAATTGACATGTGCACACCCTGGTCATTAGAAACACGCCCAAGATCTAAAATCCTAGCTAAGACCCTGACCGGAAATTATTTCCTTGGAAATGACTTCCTTCTTACCAGAGAATGGCAAGGGAAACGTCTCATGCTTTTAAAACATAAATTTTACATGATATTCTTAAAGGGAAGGCAATGTCAGACCCTGGGTGGGCACATACCTACATGGTACATGGCTGGAAACAAAGAAGCACCAGATTGTAATATTGGCATACCTCTTGTACGTAAGTATCATGGATAATAAAATAAATGGATAGGAAACTAGCTGACGTGATCTAATGTTTTTAATGGGCTGATGGCGTGATTGGATGTTGAAACCTAGTTGCAAACCAAGTCTCAAAAACGGCATGTTTAGCAATAATACAACTAAACATTTTAGTCAAAGAGCAAATGAATATAACTACACCATTCTACGATGAAATCGCTGAGTATTCCCAGTCAATTTTAGCAAATATTTCAAGCACTACACAGTGAAAAAGGCATCCCAAATTTCGTTAAAAATGGGGACGCCAATTTCGTAGCTACAAATGTAAAAAAATACAAAACAAAGACGAAAAACATTTACCTTGAATACTGTGTCGTGGCTTAGGCATGTTTTTAAAACAATTAGACCAGTATATGCTTCAATATTACTCTTTTAAAGCGGAAAGTATAGCGAAACAACAAATAGGCCGAGAACTTTGCAATACGTGTGACGTCACAGATTGCAACTAGGTTGTTTTTGCTTATGTCAGCTAGAGTCCTATCCATTTATTTTATTATCCATGGTAAGTATGCAAAGTATCGCATCCTGAGTTAGCAATAATGGGGGCCATTTGTGCAGCCAGTTCTAGTAGATGCAGGCGGAGGACGGGAAACTAAGTCTAATTTGGAGTGGCCTATTTCTTTCAAAAAGCTTTGTGTACTCCAAATTCTATTAGGAACCTGTTATTTATGTACATGTACTTTTCTAGTACAAATATTTGTACACGACTCTTAATTATAGGAAACACTCAATTGCTGATTCCTTGTCAAACTGAAAGTTAGAAGAAGAGAATTGATCAAAGGTGTTTCGTCATGACAGGGTAGTTTGACCGCTTGGCTTATATTTTAAAGCTGACGAGTAACAACAGCTCCCCAGATCTGCAGCTTAATTAACCTGCCCACCTGCCGATTTTTGCAGAGTACATTAAAGACAAAATGTTTCTTTATATCAAATATATTCAATGAATACCTCGTTCCAATACATTACTACAAACTTAATATACTTTCCTAAAATCCTACTCTTTCTCCCTTCATGTTCACGTCAACATACGCTTCAGAATAAACAAACAAAACCACAAACTTACGGTTCGCCATGTCGCCCGCCATTTTATATTTAGTGACAACAACATCTTCAGATATAGTCGGCTCTTCGGTCTCAGAATCGCTGCTTCTATCACCCATGGCTTGCTTCTTGTTTTATCTTGTGTTCTGTTCTCTTTGCAGTGGAAATGTAGTTTATTTCGTTCAAAATAAAGTGACTTTTTACTAAAACTTGAGCTTCTATTTTACACGTGTCTTGAAGCGAAAAGGCAAAGGAGCGAGTTGACCTATGTTATCCATATTTGTACATCGATGTTCTTAAGTGTACATCACTGCCTGTCATATCCCTTCTATTGAGCTGATTATGTTAATTAGTATGAATAGAGATCTACAGATTAGAATGTCGTTACAACTAGATAGCTAATTCATGCTCAGTTTTAATGAACAAATTGTCGGAACAGCTAACAATTATTGACCTGAAACTGACTTGAATTTTGCGGTCTACCGTGTACGTCAATCTGTAAATCTAAAACTAGCAATTTTATATGTTTGCCATCAATTCATCAAATACAATAGTTTAGTGACAAAATGTTGTGCTGTTGTCTTGTAATCGGTGGCAAATAATTGAAATAAATAGGATTGAGAAATGTAGTTGATGTGTTTTGTAGATGGAAATTATGGAGAAATGGACCTATTAACCGGGAACAGCTGCGAAAAATATACGTCCTCTGGCAAGAATCAAATTAGGTGGGATGCAACTACCTTAAAAATACAAGGAATAGTGTTGTCTCATAAAAATGGCAACATTTCTAAAGTTGGCAACTACCTCCTGTCCTGTGGCGCTTACTAAAACCTGCCAATAGGAACATGAATATTAAACCACAGATTTCATGATATTCTATTTTATTTTCATATTTTCCTCCTGATACAAGACTAGTTAGACTACGACCTAAAGGGACCAAAACTGGCTTTTGCATTTCACAGCTTTTTCACTTCACCTATTACTGCAAATTTGTGTAGGGAGATATTTTTAGTTAGGGAGGGGGTTGAAATTCGCGGAGGGCACCAGTAAATTAGGCAGTTCATTTCAGAGCTATTTCAAACTATCCCGCTTTCTATGATTATATCTACATGCATGCATACATGACTTATATAGGAAATACATTTTTTGTTATTCTGTACATTCATTGAAATGTCGATGTAACAAATTGCATCGAAATTGTTATCAACATCAGTCGCATTAATATGTACATCATTATATTAAAAGAACATAGAACGCTCCCGAATTCGGGCGCAAAAGAAATCGCCATATAATTTAGTTATGAACGTACTAAATCAAATCAGTGTCCGATCATCAACTTTTTCGTCAGACCGCACCTGGATAGAAGAAAATGGCCCTTCCAAATTTGGTGGTGGGTAAGAAGTAACCCTACTGGTGGTAACTATATACACCCCTGGGGGAAATTGAAAGCAAACTGTAAGCTGTTATATGTAGTATTTATGTTGCGTATCGTTGTGTCCATTCTTTCGCTATTCTGTCGTGTTCAGCTCTGTTAGTTTGATATTGTGTTGCAATACTGCCGACCAATGGATCATCTAAAATACAAGTTATAATTATTCAAAAAATTAGTGCAAAAAAGCAATCCTTTACTCTGAGCACTATCGCGCAGCAGATGGTGGTCAATCTCCAGTTATCACAGCGAGAAAATGATGTCAAAAGATGAATCCAGCTATTTTTTTATCTCGGCAAGAAGAAAAAAATCCATCACCACAGCTAGAAAGAGCATGTTAAAATTAGTAAAATTGCAAAGTTTGGTTGCGAAATGTTGTAAAATGCGGAAAATATAGCCCTGCGAAATTTGCAAATTTTGTATTAATTTGTATTACGCACAGGAAAATGCACCAATTTCGGCCCAAATATGGTGTATTTTCCCGCGCGTAATACAAATTAATAGAAAATTTGCAAATTTCGCAGGGCTATATTTTCCGCATTTTACAACATTTCGCGGCCAAACTCTGCAATTTTACTCATTTTAACATGCTCTTTCTATCTTTGAAGGCTGAATTTTGTTCTTCACTTGCCGAGATCAAAATTTAGTCTATAGGTGGAATCATCCATTTCTTTCATTAGATGTGGTAGTCTTGTATGTAATATTTCAAATCCAATTACGACTAGATTTCAAGATGGCGCAATTTGATCAAGTCAGAGGCGAAACCGAGGACTGGATAAAAATGCAAGGACTTGAAATCTCAGTCCGAATTGGAGGATATGAAATGATCAACATCTCATACGAACAAATGACTACTTACAGTGAGGTGGATTAATTTTGATCCAGTCCAAGGACTGAATTAATTTTGATCCAGTTCAAGGACTGAATTAATTTTGATCCAGTTCAAGGACTGAATTAATGGACCTTTCCCCTTATAACTAAAATTTCGATCTGGACAAAAATTTCATCACAGCTTGAAAGAGCATCGCAAAATTAGTAATATTCCAAAGTTTTGTTGAAAAATCTTGTAAAATGCGGATAATATAGCCTTGCGAAGTTTGCCGTTTTTCAGTCATTTTGTATTACAAACGGGAAATTGACATCCGATTCGGGTGTTGGGGCTGCAATTTCCCGTTTGTAATGCAAAATGACTGAAAATTGCAAACTTTGCAGGGCTCTATTTTCCTCATTTTACAACATTTCGCAACGAAACTTTGGAATATTACTAATTTTGTGATGCTCTTTCAAGCTGTGATGAAATATTTGTCTAGACTTGCCTAGATCAAAATTTTGGTTATAAGGTTATCTATTGTGCATCGGTAAATTCTAGGTCTTGAAGGATTTGTGAAATCTTTGAGGGAACTTACTTAATGTTAAACACTGAGTCAGTTCCCTCAAACATTTCTTACAAATCCTTCAAAACGTAGAATTTACCGATACAAAATTCCTACTGTGATCACAGAAACTTTGATAGAGTAAAACGAGCCTTTAGAAGCATGATTTCTGCGTTTTTTACGAATTCAACACATCATAGTTTCCTCTTCAGCTTTTATCATGTATATTCTTCAGTCAAATGTGGTAAGTTTCTTGTCATCTTACACATCTTCCATTAGTGCTAGTTCATGAAAGCTTCTTCTCTTTTGTCGAGCTACAGAAACAAAAATATTATATGTACTCTATACGTAATTAGCGACCGTGTTGTATCAGATATACTCCAAATTAACGCGAGCCGAAAACGAGAGGTTGTATTCCCGATACAACACGGACACGAATGCTGTAAACTTGTGATATGTAAGGATTTCAACAGTTGTCTTTTAACAAATTATTCAGAAAGAAGTGATTTTAACTGGAAAAAATCGAGGAAAAAGTTGATCATGCAAATCATAAGAATTTTTTGTACGTGGATACAATTAACACCTCATTATAAACATTGATTTCTTTTGAATTTTCAGTTATTAATGAGTTTTACAAATAACGTTGGCAAAATTCAATTGCAGTTGAATCATAACATGTAAGTGAGACTTATCAGAATCATAAGATCATTAAATATATGTATGTCAAAGTATTTAACTGTTCAATCAAACAAACTAACAGTACATGCAGTCCGTTTTGAAAGCCGTAATATTTCTTTTTTTAAAGACTATAGAATATTTCTTTTTTAATATTTCGTATTTCCCAGATTACGAGATGATTAACGTTTTTTCCCATCCGCCCGACCTGCCCCTTTGCAATATTTTTAAAGTCCGCAGTCCGGTTCGAAGGACCAGGCAATTTATTAATCCCCAAAGAAGATTATTTAATTCCCAGATTACGAGATGACTAACGTTTTCTCCCACCCACCCGATCTGATCTGCCCCTTCGCAATATCTTTTTATAATTAAGTCTTGTAGTCCGGTTCGAAGGACCAGGCAATTTATTATTCCTCAAAAACTAGGGTTGTCACTGTAATCCGTTTCCTAATGTCACTAGTAAGGTCCCATTGATCTCGCCAAAGCAACGATTGATGTAACTTTAACGCTAAACTGGCTTGTCACCCAGAGTGCGCTTGTTCATGACCTAATTTAAGTACCACTACAAGTTTCTACAAACCTTCGTCGTTATTTCTGAGAAGCGATTTTGCGGCAGACATCATGGGGCCTCTTGTTTCAAAGAAATAGCCAAACCTCTTTAAAGCGTGATTGGCCTCGAGCGACTTGGCGATAGCTTGCTCCGATTTAGAACCACTTGTACAGGCCTACATAAAGTACACGAGCGGAAACAAGTCACACAATAAGCCGATTATGGCCCTTTTCATAACACTTGGACTTGCATAACAGAACGTCAATAGTACCGTCACGATTCAGTGATTGCAATTATTCCATTGCCTTTTCATTGTTTTGAAAATCCCACTGTTCTCTATCCCATCCAATCATTCTTTGTAAATTTGTTGTGACTTAGTTTAGCATGCTCTGCAAAAAGGCCTATTTAGATTTTTGACTGTGAACCATACTGCACCATGATATGGAAGCCCGGCAAACTTCAAAGCCACAAAAATAGAAGACCTTTGTTTGATGTTGAACTGTGCCTCACCATGCACAAATCTTTTGTCTCAACTTATTGAATATTATCCATCGTAATTGCACGTTTCACCTCAGCTGTCCCTATTGGACGATTACTTCCTTATACGAAAATATAATGAACTCAATCACCGTGACCGTTCAGTTTTCAGACCATGATATCTTGATGATCATTGTTGAACCTGTAACTTTTAATAAGATCTAGACTTGTCTCTCGGAAAAATGATAAGGACTTTGAGAAAGTCTAAATGGTGTCTAGTTTGCTAGCATCTTCAAAGGTACTTGCCTGATTCGCAAGCCTCAGTTCTTTCACTGTTTTGTTGTCTTCCAAGACTCGCATCAATTTCTACTAAAACAACAGCAAAACATTTAGTTTAACCAGATGTTGAAATATTTCTGATGGTGGTAAATTGTATAAAGGTAACATGGCTTATGACTGCGCATGCTCCTTTTAACTCAGTAACATACCGCTATGACATCACCGGTTAAATAGTTTGATTCCATATTTATGGATTCCAGTGTTCTGTTCACTTTCATGGTTTCTATCAAATGCTGATATAAAAATACCAAAATATAATTTAGTATCTATTTTCACTGTAGATACTAAATACCACATATCATTTAGTATCTACTATTTGCGCACAGCGCACTTACAGTACAAATCCTGTTTCTGATGCGAAGGACACGTCAGTGTTAGCTAGTGTTGCAAGGTACAGCATAGTGATTCTTGGACTTACCAGGCATACAGCTGGTTTCATCTGTGTATTTGCAACAGACAGCTTGGTAACATACGTATTTTTCTTGAGTAATCTCGCGATATCAATCAACACGCTTTCCACATCCTTGTAGTTATTCATAGCAATCTCTGTCAATGTTGGATCACTTCGCTTCAGTCTCTTGAGAATTTCTGATATCTGTATTGTGTCAGGCGTCTGTAACATGTCTGGCATTGATTTAGGTCTCTTGCCCTGAACGATACCTTGGAGAAGTGAAATAATCTTGTAAATTTAGTTTGAACCGGTCCGGAGGGATTTTAAACCGTACCGAAACGTGTAAGCCTCAGCCTCTTATATTTTTAACTGTACTGTACGTTGTAGTACAATGTACTGTAACATGCAGTGTTGTACCGTATTCTACTGTGCTGTGCTGTGCTGTGCTGTGCTGTGCTGTGCTGTGCTGTGCTGTGCTATGCTCTACTATTGTGTACTGTACTACATTGTACCGTCTTGAAGGTGATTCCGCCTCGCTGGTAACCATCTGCCTTGCAATCTAATATTTACGTTATAATACCTGGCTTTCTGAGACCAAATTTCTTTATTGCTTCTCCTAATTTCTGACTTTCCACTGCAAAACTTTCCTGTTGCGTCAAAAGACTATGCAAGCCTAGAACAGCTAAAATGGAAATATTAAATTAGATATCATCTCTCAGTGAAGCCTTGCATTACCACATGACATAGGCTCTGAATTATGCGCCACTTACCAGTAGATGCAAAAAGATAAAACCATTGACCTTTCCCCTTATAACTAAAATTTCGATCTAGACAAAAATTTCATCACAGCTTGAAAGAGTTGTGCAAAATCTTATAAAATGCGGATAAAATCTTGTTGCAAAATCTTGTAAAATGCGGATAATATAGCCTTGCGAAGTTTGCCGTTTTTCAGTCATTTTGTATTACAAACGGGAAATTGACATCCGATTCGGGTGTTGGGGCTGCAATTTCCCGTTTGTACTGCAAAATGACTGAAAATTGCGAACTTCGCAAGGCTCTATTTTCCTCATTTTACAACATTTCGCAACGAAACTTTGGAATATTACTAATTTTGTGATGCTCTTTCAATCTGTGATGAAATATTTGTCTAGACTTGCCTAGATCAAAATTTTGGTTATAAGGGGAAAGGTCCATTTAGATCCAATCTTCTCGCTCACCTGCAATTTCATTGATGTCCTCATCGCCAATATCCTTCATCATGACTTCCAGCTCATCCGGGAGTTTCACTTCTTCCTCGACTGGCTTTTCACGCTTTTTCTTCGACTTTTCTTCCTTCTTCCAGTCCCTGTACTTGCGTGGCAGGTAATTCTCTCCCTCGACGGAGTCTTGAGATTTCTGCTCCATGACGCAGATCATTGATTTGATGTCATACCTGTTCTTGGCCGCCCTCGGTCTGTCAAAATAACGGGTTGTCTCGGAAACCCGCGAAGATTGTCCTTGCTGAAAGCCGGAAAGATTAATTTAGCCACCTACACACGTAAAAACGCACACGTTGTAACCTAAAACCTGCAGCAGACTTGTAGCAATGCTGTCGTCCAACAACTTGTCAACAGGATATGTTCACACCGGTTGTTCCCAGCTTGTTGACAACTTGCTATGAGGTTTTTGAGCTCAACAGACTTGTTACAAGTTGTTCCAACAACTTGGTATCGTCCTCAACAATTCAACAATTTGTCAACACGTCGTGAGTGACAACCTTGTAGCAACTTGGCAAAATAACAGCATTGTTACAATTTGTTGACAGCTTGCTACAAGCCAGTTGTGAACACATCTTGTTGACAAGTTGTGAGATTTTTACGTGTGTACATCACTCGCTTTTCTGAGATGCCGTGTTCAGCGCAAAAGATTGCGCAATCAGAGAGCGCCGTGAATGTCTGCGACATACCAAAGATGGGTCAATATCTCCAGACAATTCATGTAGCTCTTCTGCTGATAAACCGTCGAGCAGATTTTCGATCGAGACTGACGCCATGTGCAAGGTTTCTTCAGAAAGTGATTCCCTGGACTGCTTTCAGCTTTGGTCACCGTTCTCTAAACTGTGAAACGAAGGCAGGGTTTAGACGACGAGCGTTTTCATGCGCCGCACTTAATCAAATATAAAATACGTCACAAGTTCGGCAACTGATTGCATGAGACGTTGGACGTAATTGTACCGTGCCAAAATACAGGTACACTATATCAAAAATTTCAGAGGGGTTGGACCAGAGGCAGGTTTTCAAGATGGCCGCCAGTTTTTAAGATCATTAAAATGTAAAAGAATGAACAAACAGCCACCTGCAGTAATACTAAACCTTACCCTCACCATCACCCTCACCCCACACCTAATCCTAACCCCCACACTAACCCTAATACTAACGCAAACTCTTATTTCAATTTTCGGAAACCATCTTGTAAACTACCATCCTTTTTAGACATTACCAAAATTCCAGTGCTAATTCGCTAATATATCATAATCATATGATAATGTACGTTAAACTGAAAGAATTATGTATTGGGTTCGGCTCGTGAAAAGCATGGTGTTGCATAATATGACATGACTTGCATTGCCGTATTTTGTGCCCTGTCGAACCTGATCAAATCTTGTCGAACCAGATTCAGACGCCGTTCTTGTAGTGTCGTACTTAATTGTTGTATTAGGTCGTTCGGTGCATGAACATTTCGCCGTCTAAACGGGCCTAGCTAGGAGTTTTCATGACTGTGCCGCATCTTGAAATGGTCTTTATTTTGGCGGTTGCTGCGGTGCAAAATACTGAGTAAATATTGAGTTGTGGCTGTCGCGAGCAAGTCATGCACACATGGATATGAAAATGTCTGGATATATCGTGTTTTTGTATACTGTATGTAAATCTGTCTTTCACTGATTGCAGAGAAATAGCTGTCTGGATCGAATGTAATTAGATTTTACTAACGGAGCGATTATTCTGCTGACTGTGTGATAACAAATTTCATATTATTCTGACACCACAGAGGACAACGAACTGAAAATTCGTTCTCTCGAGAGGAATTCGTACTTGCAGTTGGGTACCCATTAATTGAGCTATCGAGTTCAAGGGGGATTGGTAGCGAGTCTTACAATTTTAATTGCACGAAATATTTTTGGGACGACTTGTCTTACGGGACTATAAAGTGACAAAGCCTTTGCGGAGGAGATAAGGACATTTTTCGCCAAGTCATTTTGTCAACTAGTCAAAAGATAACATTGGGAGAGATATGGTTTGAGACTTTGTTGAGTCAAATATTTCACTAATCACTATATCATCCCTCTTCTGTTGCTTTCTCTCTAGTTCAAAAATTTTCTTTATTTCTGGCATGGTAACCGCGAGGTAATGCGAGTTTAGCCGATTTAAGTTTATTCATATATGGCGAATTAAGATCCCAGATAGGCCTTCGATAGCTCTATCAGTTCTAAACCGGTTCTTCCTATAATGCCTGGTAAATAGATCCATTATAGACCGATTTAAAAAAGGATTGTCACCAAGGAAATCTCTGCCGCCTTATAGAATACTCAGTCAAGACTATCACTTTTACAAAATAAACACACATTTTATTTTACGGACCCATTGTCGTTTACATGCACACAAAGTGTGGACAGGCTGAGGTCACGAAATTCTAATCTCTAATATGCGAAGCACATTAACTTTTGTTGCTTCTAATTACTCATTAAGAAAATGCTATTAAATCACCTACCTATAATTAAGCTTGTGAATTGCCACAGATTACTACATTAACGAGATATACGGCGCAGACGTTGCGTCGATAAGCTCATATTCGACGACTGTTACAGTAAATTTAATACCCATGTGGAAC